GAGTTATTACAGTTATCTGCTGAATGCGTTATTAGGATTTCTGTAACTTTAATCTATCTCTTCCCATTACATTTAACAAAAATTTTAAAAGTTTTCAAAATTGATCTGTCTCTCTAATTAGTTCTGTGATGTATTCCATATAGGCATGACAAAACTCTTCGACAAACTTTTTGAAGGTTTCTTAATTTTCTAGAGAATCTACAACTTTGTGACTGGTAGATTCTTATAAGCCGTTTAAAAGCATAAGCATTAAGCATAAAGCAGCAATTAAAAGCATAATAAAGCTTCAAAAGCATACAAAAGCATAGTAACTAATAGTAAATTATAACATCTTCGGTGTCTCTGCCATACAGACAGCTGTGTCGTTCATTCATTTAATGAACTCAGCGTTTAATCTCGCACGCTGTCAAGAAGCTCTGGAAAATAGAACTTAGTGTTTGACTTTAAATTTTTTAATTTTTTGTTCTGTAAGACAATAGAATAGTGTAGAAAGAACTTGTGGGAGGCCTAACTGTATGAACTAGTTTAACAATCTCACAACTTCCCAATGGGTGGTGCAGCCAGAGTCAATGTTAAAACAGTGTACTGATTTAGCATTTGCAAAAGGCAACAGTTCTCATCAATATCGGCATATAACCTTGGTCGGAACGTAAGTACTTGTCGATCATTATAATTGTGAGGATGAGAAGGGTTGGGTGAAACTTTCTTCAAGATATCGCAAATCCACAAAAAGATTTCTATTCTTTTGTGAGGTTGTATGATTCAGGGACGAAATGGAATACATTTAAGAAATTGCAATTATCATGATATAGCTATTTGTTCTGTCAAAAACTGCATTTTCTACAGCAATTTGTTCAAAAAAAACCTTAAACTCTTCGCATATCTGTGGAAAATTAATTTGGCTTCGAATTGAACGGAATATCTTCTATTATTTCTGTACTTCGAAAATTCAATCACACTTTCGTAACTTTGCTTCTCATCGCTTTTCTTAGAAAGCAAGATTTGGAAAAAAACGATGAGATGTTTAAAGCATGATTTGAACGACATAGAAGCAGAAAAGGTTCCTTAAAATATTTTTTCCATCTCCATTAGAATTTTCAACGAAACCAAAATGAAGAATATAACCCATCCTGAAAAGAT